ATATATATATATATATAGTATGCTATAACCTATACCTAATCTAGATATACTAACCATAATACATGATATATATATTTTTATATATACGCTATACCTAGGCCTCACCAATATATACTATACATATACCTAGCCTATATGTACTATATATAACCTTTCTACATAAAGGGATACTACACTAGAACTTTAGTGTATATTATGATGGTAAGTGCATAAATAATAGTATATACCTAGAAATTTATTATTCTACAATTTTCTAATAATGCATTCACATTTTTCATAAAACAACAGTGAGTTTCGAAATCCTTATTTTTTGGCCGCTGACATGATACCCTGCGAGTGTGCTCCCACTCTGACAAAGTTGCGATTATTCCCATTTATTTAGCAGGTTACAGACTAAGGGCTAATCACAAAAGTGCAATTATATTTATATCTAACTGCAACGAAAATTTTTTACCATAGCACAAATTCGTCCATATTATAGCTAAAATTACAGTTGTTTATAGGATATTGCAATTATTCTCTTTTTAAATAGTTAAATAAGAAACACCCTCGGTCTGTCGCATGCAGCCGAAAAGTTGCGATGCGCAACTTTGAAAACAGATGGGCTAGTCGTGGCACCACCGTCGTTGCAACAAGCAACAAGGTCTATAAGCCAGCATTCATCAGCGCACGTCACGGAAGCACTTACATTGAAGAACCGTACTTTTATTGTCAGTGGTTCTTTTCTCCCACGGTCAGGGTTGTTTGTCAGGTCCGGACTCCTGCAGCGTTATTTAATTGTTATAATATAATGATGGATATATATATATATATATATATAATATTATGATCAATATATGCAAATTTCATATCCAATCCTTTCACATTCATTCTTTTTGATCTCACTCTTTTTCTTTTATAATGTTCCTAGCAATCTATAAAAAATATAATAGCATATTATGAAGAGTTTTTAATATGTGCTTATTGTCTTGATTATAAAATGTTCATGACTATTTATTTAAGCTATGCTGGTTATGGAGAGTTTCCTGTATGAACGCGTGATCACATGATTTAAATAAGGATATCATACTGGATCCGCCAGTTGAATTCTCACCTTTAATAGCTTTATGTACAATTGCGATGTGCGTTGATGATGATGCATGATTGTGTTGCGTTGCCCTGCTCGAGGACGTGTCGAATTATGTGCAGTTGTGTGAAAGGTCATTGATATATATATATATATATATATATATATATGTAGTTTTATTATATATTCATTTTTAATTTAGGTGGTTTAGTGTATTATATTATATATACGTTTAAGCGGCGAATGATGATACCGGACGCAATAACAAAATATATATGCCAGTTTGCCGGAACTACTGAACGGAACATCTCAGGACGTTTGATCGCACCTACGCTACGCGGTATCTGTTATGTATAGAGAGAGAGAGGTGGGATAGATGATATATAGGATGAGATAAATAGTAGATAGATAGATAGATAGATAGATAGTAGAAGATGATAGATAGATAGATAGATAGATAGATAGATAGATAGATAGATAGATAGATAGATAGATAGATAGATAGATAGATAGATAGATAGATAGATAGATAGATGCGTTCTGGACAATTTACTTAACGATGTACATAATTGTTAGTTTACGTTCAATGGAATTAAACGGTGAAATGGTAACTAAATATTTTATCATACGGTTCTGATGACTTTAAGCCCAAAGTCGTTGTCGTTAGTGATGTGTTTCGATTTTTATCATTTTTAATAGCAACATTTCTCGCTTGTATGTAATGCGCACATTAGTTAACAATTTTTGTTGGTAATCGTTGCCTGAGGAAAATTACACTCACATCTCACATCTCAGACTCACATCTCACATCTCAGACTCACATCTCACATCTCAGACTCACATCTCACATCTCAGACTCACATCTCACATTTCAGACTCGCATCTCACTACGCTTTCCTGATGGTAGAAATCTTAGCTAGGCAGCTACATATCGCTATACCTCTCCCTGATTTGAGGCAGCTACATCTCTAGTGAGGCAGCTAGCTAGCTACCGATTCCTGCTGGTAGTAATCCCGGCTAGGCAGTTACAGTCACTTATTGTCGCTATAGACATCCCAGCTAAGGAGGTTCAGGCTATGGTTCAGGCCACTAATCTTATCGTTATCACCTCTATGTGGAACTCACAGAGTTATTTCGTGTAACTGATATAGTAATATTCATATTCACATGGTCAAAGTAAAACAGGCTATATGTCCGAACAAACAATTTAGGGTTAAACATATATTTTATATTGAAGAAATCTGGTAGATAATAATTTTTGGTTGAACCAAAATAAGACGAGGATTATATAGCAAATACATATCACTGTCCGAATGACGAAGAATATCTGTTGATAACGTTAAATTAAAAACATTCGGATTATTTCGTATTACCGGTGAGAAGAATACTGTGACCAAGAACACGTAATATTAATACTCATAATAATATGCACAAATGACGTAGCAAACAACTTTGTTATGAATACGGCACTGTAAATTACACACAAAAGAACAAGTGATATTTGATGGAAATACCGTTCAAACACTAAATATTCTAATGTTCTATAATCATGATATGTTGCGGGTTTTTCCATCATGACTATTGTTAAACAATACCATGCGTTTCCCCTAACAGTTATAAAAGTACTGGTCTGTTAGGATTAAATGTAATTGGTTGCAAAACGTGATATATATATATATATATATATATATATATGCAGGAATAGCAATTTATATTACACAATAAAACAAGATAAAACTTTATTTTTAACGCGTTATTTACGATAAGACTGTAAAGCTTGCTCTCTACCTAAAACATTGCCAAATAATTATGTTGTCATTGTATGCTAGATCATGTTTCACTTTTGTGTGACCTCCTAAAAATTTTGGGCTTATTGAGAACGTGATCACACTAAATATATGCAATGCATTGCGATTTGTGGTTTATCAATATGATTCGGATTACACGATCATTTTACAATAGGCGCGTTCACACACAAGAAAAAACCGCGCTGCTCAGCCCGCTAATAGCGGAGATAATAGTGAGCTAATTGTGTCGTTGTTCACACAGGCGAATATCTCGCTAATCGCCGCGGTGCAAATATCACGCCGCGGTGCAAATAAGCGAGCTGATTCCAAATTAGCCCAGTCGGAAGTGGTCTTAGGAGCCCGCTATTTGGAGCGCGATTTAGTGAGCTAATTGCGTTCACACTTGTAAAAAGCTCAGTTTTTCGAGCGAGCTACAAAAACCGGGTTTTGCAGCCCGCTAATTCGCGCCAGTGTGAACGCACCTAATAGGTATATATATAATATTGTACCTAATATTGTAATATTGTACAACGCACCTAATATTGTATATATTACAAGAAAAACCAGTAACTAATATCGTGAAATGCATGATCAAAGCATGCGCCGCTGAAAGTAGTTAATATATACAAAATTATATAGGAAATTTGATAATTATTGCGTACCTATGTATGAGCTATGTGTAAATCGTTTACAATCAAACGATATGAGGAATATAGTAATGTGCATAATTTTAAATGGTTTATATTACAAAACGTTGTTCGTTCTATACTAACAATATATGCTAGTGATATGAGGCCGTTATGTATTTAAAAAATGAACCTAATAGTATAATAAATAGTACCTAACACGCCGCTTATTTATGATTACAAATGCAATTATGCACTTTACAGTGATTGCATCGCCATCTCTTGAGATTGAGAAATCCGAAAATGCCACTGTGTCTACATGCATGGCATGCTAGTCAACGACAAAAATTCCGTATTTGCAAAGTAGAATCGGCTGCCTGCTTATATTATGTTAGCGCAGAATATCGGGAGCGTTTTTCGCGGCCGCAATGCGAAATTAGTTTATTTACGGTGATGCATTCACTCGCGTGTGATTCATTGGCATTATCACACGTTTCATGAACGCAATTATCTGAACGTTACTTGTTCATCACTTGAATGTAGCTGACTAAAATAACAACTAGTTCACGTTTAACTCCCGGATAATAGGCCCACTGCGGCGGTCTCGTGTTTCATCTGAGTCTACCGAGAAAACCGAGGTTGCCTTAACAGACTTATGTGGTTTCGACTTGCCGCCTGCTCGTCGACGCTGAGACCTTCGACTTTTATCGAGCCTCGAGCTGCCGTGCCTTCTAGTCAGTGGCTGATTGTGTTCGCGCCTGGCTTCTAATGGTTCCACGTCCACTTCTCCACGCAGCGGCGTCGGCTCCGGGCCGATTTGGTGGCCGTGTTTGTCGTAGAATGTTACCTTGGCCCCGTACTGGAAGCGCTCGTGATACTTTACTGTGCCAAAAGCGAAGAACTCTCGCTGTCGCTGGTCCAGGATCTGGGTAAGATGAATAGTAGCCCACCTGCAACGCGGTGAGGATGGCGATTAGGTTTACTCTGGCATCAAAGCTGAGAAGAACAGCCGATAATGTTCTTCGAATGGTGTTTCTCGCCCAAAGCAGTTCCCACTCCAGTTCTTTCTTATTTCATTGTTGCATTCATTATTGAACTCTCGTCTGACACTCCTAATTGAATTCGCAATACGCACCAACAGAGGAGCTCATTAAATTACTTTCCATTTCATATTGGTGTGCTAATTTCGTTAACTATCTGCTAAAGAAAACAACGGGCAACACACGGTGGAGAAATCGCTTACCGGTCACACCACTTGATTGTGACGAAACCAGCAGCCAAAAACTGCGCTCTCCATTTGATGACGTAGATGTCCTTATCCAGAAAGATGTTAATCATTGCTTTTTGGCCTGCAGGCACTTCTAAGTTAACTTCGATGCCCTGAGTCACCCCCACGGCAACGACGTGGCCATAGGCCATATCGAAAGCCTTTCCTTCTGCCGCATCCGTAGAAAAAAGGGCAGCAACCTGTGAATTATAGCAGATATTTTTCTTCTTCTCGGGTCACTACACTACACTCGTCATAGCCACTACAGCACACAGCACCTGACACGGTGGTTGAAAGCCTCCAGTCTCCAAGGATAGTCTCCAGGTCTACGGAGCTCTGGTGATAGGGGGGTATTCCGGGAGATGTTCCATAGTCTGGTACTCCCCGCATATGGTTGGCCATCTTACTCAGAAATCATTATTTTTACCGTGGTAGAAGTAGTTTAACTGCGGTAAAATGAAAGCGCTTTTACCCTATCTATTGTCTTGTTACACATAATTTAACGGCGGTTGAATTATTTTGACCGTGGCTAAATTATGTGGAGCAAGGCCTCTGATTCGGTAAAAGGGCTATAATTTAACGGCGGTTGAATTATTTTGACCGTGGCTAAATTATGTGGAGCAAGGCCTCTGATTCGGTAAAAGGGCTATAATTTAACCGCGGTAAAATAATTTATCCGTGGTTAAATTATGTGTAACAAGGCCTCTGATTGGGTAAAAGGGCCATAATGTAACCGCGGTTAAATTATTTCAACTGCGGTAAAAATAATGATTTCTGAGTACGACGGCCAACCATACCCGAAGTCACAGTGGATATTATAAGGAGTTGAAACGGTATTACTCTGCTGTGTTTAAGACGTAACACGACGTACTCTCAATCTACATAAACGTGTATCTAGTTATACACATTTTTTCTAATAACCGAATTGTGAACGTGGAAATTCAATGAGAAGTCCCTAGGATATATGGCTGCACCTGCACTCACATATAACCTATAATCACGTTCATGATGAGCATGTCGTCATTAATTGCCGAGCATCTAAAAGTGACGATAGAGATCCTAATGAGAAATACCCCTCCCCGGTGTGCTCCCACTTTATAGACCGGATTAATTTTGTTTATTATTTTACGCGTCCTTACCTTATCTGGCAAACCTAACGCATAAACTTGACGTTCCGATTCCGCTTCCGCTGCTATAGCAACTTCACGGTCCATGCCCGTATCCGTATCAATAGAATCCTCGTATGTATCTGCCGAATATCCATATTGTTATAGCATATGATACGTAATGTGAACGAAACGAAATGTTATTTTTTCGTTACAAATGTGAAAGATGCCATATTAAACAAAAGTAAACTAAAATACCCCAGCATGTGAAACTTATTAAAGAAATATACTAGCTAAGTGATAAGGACAGTAGTACCAGATATTTCAATAAACTTTTGTAGAAAGCTCGGATAGGGCGAATCAGTGTTATCCAGCTGTCCGTCGTACGCTCCAAGGGGCACGGCCTCGTAGTAAGGATGTACGTTCTTCTTCAACATTCGGGTCAGTTTAGTAAGGTGAAGCTCTATGGCGTGCAGATCCATTTCTATGTGTTCTAAAGAAATAGCGTAGAAATTTAAATGCGAGTCGTAATTATATATGTAGATATATATATATATATATATAAACAAATAAATAAATAAATAAATAAATAAATAAATAAATAAATATATTGATTATTTTAAAGTTTGTTTTCAGCACAGGAAACTTTATGTCTATTTCTATACTATGTATATAAGGAATATATCTGTACCAATGTGTTTAGTTTCCTGTGTCAACCCCTGTTGCCAATTAAAAAAATTTAATGCCTTTCTAGCGTGTAAAGATTTTGAGTTATATCAGTTAATGTGCACTGGATTGAAGCTTTCTAGTAATCTCTGTTAGCTGTTAATTACCTGTTGTTCAGCTTAACTGTCATGTCAATTAGTTATTGTTTTAACTTTCTGCATATTTCTTGAATTACTATAGTGATTATATTAGGAACTTTTTCGCCTATTTCCTCCACTTAGTATTATTGGCGAAAAACAGGTTTTGAGATTTGTGTATACTCTATGTATATTATAATGTAAATTCTACCAAATTGGAAAATTGGAAATTTTTATGTTTTTGATTTATCGAGCAGACAGAAATTTTCTTCTAGTGTTAAAAATAGTGTTAAAATTAGTGTTAAAAGTGCCCGTTAAAAATCATCACTAGACTTAGCTTATCAGACAAAGTGGCAGACAATATATATATATATATATATATA